GGAGTTCTGTGTACGAGATTGCGTCAGAATGTTCGATTATGAAGTTGTCCGTGATTTACGACAGCGCAATAAATCGTTCTGTTACGACACGATTACTTTATCGAATAACGAAACATGGATCGAGGCATCCTGTAATTATTAGGACGATCAGGAATAATTGTATTTGCTATTTACAAGGATTCAAATATTTCTTAGCTTGCTTCTAGAAAATTGGTGTTCTAAACCGTGGACTGATTGCTTCAACATTTCGATAGGTGTGCACAGTTGAACAAAGCAATTACGACACTTTTTCAATTATACCCTACGCTCCGTTATTACGACACCGTAATTCGCACTTACGACATCCTGTCAACGAGAAATCAACTGTCGAGCATATTAGAAACGAATGAAAACGAAAAAGAAGAATATGGCTATAAAGAGGCTGAGTCACGATTTGTCTACTTTCTTGTAAACGTTGCTCGGTACAATTCTAAATTAGTCTTGGAGAAAATTTATATATCTTCTTCGTCTTCCGCCTACAGAGAAATCGTTTAAGCGAGATTTTATTCACTGTGCACTTTTTTAACTAGCTAATGGGAGACATGCTACCGATTCCAGACTCAATGTTCCTCGTATTTCGTAATAGCTTCGGACTTTTACCGTAAATTATGTAAACCCATCGATCTGGTAAACGACAATTCTTACGGAATTCGTTCGGAAAACACGGTAAAGAGCCCTCTACTCGTTTTCTTCCACGTTTCCTGTCTGGCTGAACCTGTAGCCTGTTATTTACCCGTGAGATACACGGCATTCAAACGCTATAACGACATTCGTAGGTGTGTGGCCGATGGATTTCGCTGGTTCTGTCAAGCAGACACCTTGTTCAATGCTCGATAATGCCAACAATTACGTTTCTTCCCACGATTATATTATTGAAATTAACCGTACAGCCTTTCCGAGCTCTTTTTCAGTGACACGGAAAAGCGGTTTGACAGCTGACGCGTTAAAAATATTGATAATTTATACGTCGAAACTAAAGTACCGTCGGTATCGCGTTACATAAATCTCAACATGCATTATTCATGAGTTTGACGCGCGAAAAAAATAAACGTACAAACGTCATGTTTGTATCGTAAAGCGTGAAACGGACTTAAGTAGCTAGCTGTCACCCTAAATTCTCAAAAACGAAATACACACGAGTTGCATCAGTAATTCTAATCGTCGACCGAAGGAGAATAAGTAAATAATATTAACGATTTGTAAAGAACGGAAGACGAATCGTGGACGTGGAAACGAAGCGACGACAAACTCTCGATGTCCCAACGCATAATTGCTAGATTTCGCCAAGTTTGCCCAACCAGCGGCCATCGACGAAATCATCGAATAGTCGAGAACTCGCCGCGTACGAGTTTTCCGTTCGACGTCGTTGGCTTCGTCTCTGCTCACGTATATAATTATCATTGACAAAGCGTAAAACGGTCAGCCCGTCCGTCATCGGCGACGGAACCTTGACACACCGTTAAACCCCCAGCCTCTGATTCCTCGAAAGTCGCGAGCCATTTTAACCCTTCAAGTACGAAGCACTGATTCATCTATTTATTTAAATATTTTTTCTATGATCTAACCGCTCAAGTATCTCTGAATCAGCTTCGTTTATCGAACGACAAATCATCGTTCGACCAATTGAATCCGTAATTGTTCGGAACAGTAACAAAGTCGAAGTTCAAAATCTCGGCACGCATCGCGAACCAGATTGATGGATCCGAATCTTTTCTAACGGTTTCTGCGGCTGGTTGCGGCTGTTATTAGCATAACGCCTGAATAACAATCTTCTGGAACGCTAGTCCATTCGATCCTCCTTCCTCGTTTTCGCGTTTCGAAACCGAACGACGCGGGAAGACCGATAAAACGCAGGAAACGAGCCGAGCGCTTCCTTTTTCCCACGGCGTGCTCGTCTGCCGTAACGAAACACGGAAGACCGAGTTCCCTGGACCAGAAACACGAATTGTTATGCTGGATCAAACAATAAAGCGACATAAATAGTCGTTAAAAAAATACACGGTGTACAAAGAAAAATAAAGAGAAGAATCACTATAAGAGCGAACAATTTGACTGACTCAAAGTTGTCTGAATCGGAAGGGACAGAAAAATAAAAAGCTAGTTTTGTTTTAATATCGAGGACACCGATCGAAACCTGTCGACTATCGAGCCGCTTCTTCGCGGAGTCGATAGTCGTGAGAAGGGAAAGTTGGATGATCGATAGAAGTCGATCCTGCAACTTGTCGGACAGCGCTAGAAAATCGCTGGTAAGCGTCGCGTGATCGATCGTGCGACCAACTGGTTGATTGAAACACGTGTCGATCGAGGAAGGTGCAATTAGTCTAAATTAAATCACCGCGATCGAATTCCCAACCTTTGACCTCTCGATCGTAACGGACTTGGAAAATATTGGAAAATTGCGCTGGAACGGATCGATGTTTTCTAAAGACCCTTAGATTTTTTTAATTAAGAATATAAATTATGGTTGTTAAATTGCATTGTTTGATATATGGGCTGACCTCGATAACTCGAACCTCTGTAGAAACTTCGTTTCCCTTCGTAAAACAACTAAAGAAATAACAGAAGCTGCACAACACGCACCTAGCCTTTGCAGCTCAAATTTATATAAATTAACCTTTGCAACGCGGAACACGTTTCACCGATTTCTAACGCGACTCTAATTCGTTTCCGTTTCCACTGTACTATAGAGGGTGTTTATTATAGGGAATACAGAAATCGTTTGGACAGAAATGAAATAGGAAATATTTTATGGATTGATCTATGAAGAAGGCTAGAATGAAAAATATTAGCGAAAGACAGTCGAAATGTTTAAAATATTTGGATACCATATTTGATAATAGATGGAGTTTGCTTGGACATAAATACCATAAAAGCATGCAGTACATGCGAGGATTGCTTCGACCGACGTTGGGATTTTTTTGCGACCGCTGAAGAGTTCAGTTTCTCTTCCAACGCGACCTTCTCGTATCCGTTGATCAGCGACAGGCAAGAAACTACCGAAGAAAATGCATAGTCTAGAAAATAAAGTGACGAAGAATGACTGGACGTCTGGATCGACACGATTCCGATTCCTTCCGAGCTCAAGGTGGAAAATCCTCGCCACCTGTCGCTGCTGGATCGCGGATCAAGATAGCGATCACCCCCTGAACCTACGACCCACATCCAACCGTTGGAAAGGAACCTGAAAGGAAAACGAATTGTGTTAGTAACAGAGATAATAAGAATCGTGACCAACTCTTGTGGCGTACTGATAGGAACTGAAACTCAATGACGACCGTGATTTGCTGTTCGCGAGCCTGGCTCGTGATGTTTACGTTTGGGTCGACTTTTTGTTCGCGAGTCTGGCTCGTCGAAACATACCTTATATACATACATAAACCGAGGCCACTAATAAATGCAGTTTCGATTGGTCATTAGCGAATGTTAATATTCGTTGCAGGTCAGTCGAGATAAAAAAGAGAAACTATTTTTATCGATGGACCATCGGTGAATTATCTAAGGTAAAACTGCAATTTTTCCACGATTTCTTAAAAACTTTTGCCAAACGAGGATACCTCTTATTTATAGATCTATGTTTCAAGAGTGTCCACAATTTTTTTCGTACAAAAATATTGAAAATAGTAGGAGTTACACAGTGTTTACTTTCGTATTAGTAATTTTGGTAATGTTTCTTGTAATTCACCGAGTAGTCGTAGCTTTCTATTTTCTTCAGAGATTTCATTAACAGAGTTAAAAGGTCAAGTGTGGCTCCCCAAGGGGGAGAATAAACTGTTTCTCGTTTTTAGTGAAAAAGATAGTCGATGGAGCACGCGGGGAAACCTTGAGTGAATCTGGATCGCGCGTGGACCAGTTTGATCGAGGATCTATCGGGGATCTAGTGGGGGTGGCGTTGGCGTTGAAACGTTAGACGGCGATAGGTGGTTCCGACGACCGATCGGACCAGTCGGCGTTGGGTGAAATTCGGAAAAAGAAAGCCAGTGGCTGCTGTTAATGGTCAGCTCGATCGGAGAGCGGTTCGAGTTCCTCGAGTTTTTGTTCGTCGAACGACCGCGGTCTCCGGGCGAGGGAGAGCCTTGGAAAAGGGAAATCAGGACTGGACGACGCCTGCTCGACCAGCGTCGCGATCCAACAAACGCCTCGCGTCCTTTAAGGAAAGGATTTCCATTAGAAAGGCGATCATTTACCTAATCGTTGCACTTTTTCTCAATTCTCAATCTCAATTTTTAGTATACAAATACGAACTGTTGCAAACGCGTTTACAGGCCTCGAAATTTATTTCTAATAAATGTTTTAGGATTTCTTTCAAGCAGTATTATTTAACTTTTCTTATTATGACGACTGGTTCGAAAAAATCTTTGCGTTACGTTGAATCTATCTCACGGTTATGCTTTTCCTGTTGCACCATTGTGGCGTTCAGGTTTTTCTCGGTTACGTCCATTATATTTTGCTCGGCCGTTTTTGCCATACTTTCTCGATCCTTAATGGTGTTCTCGTTTGACAATCGCGACGAGGTTTATGGCCCCTTGTTTATTTTTAGTATTCTCGTTAATATTCGACCATATTATTCGTCTGTTCCAACCAATTAAATTGATTGAATGAGCAACAGAAGTTCTTTATCTTTGTTGCCTCGTTTTCATGGTCCTTGCCCCAAAGTTTCTCGTTTATATAATTTGCTCCTTCTCAATCCAATAACCTTCCCAATCGGCAGATTTCGTGTAAATCTTTCTGCACCTCCTCATCACATTACCAACTTTCAACTTTCCTTTTCCAATGTGTCTGTCAACCATTTTAACTCTCTCCCAGTCAATATAGAAACGTTCCACAAATTCCAACGCTTCTTTTGACCATGCAGGCGGTTTTACTTTTCCACCATTTCCTACAACATTGCATTTTTGTCCTCCTCTTGCATTATTCTTGCACATAATATTTCTTTTTTTTAAATCGAAATTACGATTTTCCAGGAGATCCCGCGGTGGGGCAAGAGCTGCCGACTCTCCTCGACGAGTCCGCGGACGAAAAAAACGACGCGGAAATCTTTCGAGCGGTGGTCGAATCGATGAAACAGTGGACGTTGCACAAGAAGTTGCATCACAGGGCAAAAAGAGAGGTTTCGAAGGTTTGCTACGAGGATGTCGGCTGCTTCGAGGACACCGGACCCTTCAGCTACTTGGAAATGCTCCCATCTCCCCCCAAAGACGTTGGAACCAGGTACAAATTGTTTATTTCCCCCCCAAATAGATCACCAACATCTTCCAACCGAACGTGTTAATTTAATTAATAGAAATGATTTACGATTACATATGGAGTAAACAGAATCGTAAGAAATTAAATTAAATTGTACAATCTCTTTTCTAATAGTTTCCATTTTTCGAGCGCGTAGGAATTTCCAACCCAGTTTCTCGGATCGTCGATTTTTCAATTATCATTTACAACGAAACGTACGCACGGTGTGGATGTTGTGAGTTGGTTTTATCGTAGATTTTTAGTGTACGGCAGCAGGAAGGCGAGATCGATCCCCATGGAAGTTCCTGCAGACGACATAAACGATAACGCGCACCGTGCCATAGATCCCGATCTACCGACAAAAGTTATCGTACACGGATTCGGGTCCAGTTGCGACCACGTATGGGTTTACGAGATGAGGTCCGCGCTTATGACGGTGCACGAATGCAACATAGGTTCGTAAAAAGTCCAACGAAACTAATAATTCAACGAAATAAACCTCAACTTATTCTGCGTGAACATAGAATCCCTCGAAACACTAAATTTACAAGGCCTGAGAATTCTAATGCGTCAGAGACATATCGAGAAATAAAAAAACACTTCCCAGACTCTCAATTAGCTTCTCAAGCTCCTTCGTTTAAGCGAACCCTGCACTCACGTGAGATATTTCCAGTCTGCGTCGACTGGGGCCCAGGAAGCGCAGTTCCAAACTACGTGAGAGCAGCTGCCAATACTCGATTGGTCGGACGACAGCTAGCAAAGCTAATTAGAAGCATGAACGTACCTCTGGAGAAGGTCCACTTGATTGGTTTCAGCCTCGGTGCCCACGTGGCTGGATTTGCTGGCGCCGAACTAGCCAACGTCTCGAGGATCACAGGTGCAGTTACCTCTTCGTTCGAACCCTGAAAAATGCTACACAAATCAGAAATTGATTCGACGAAAACATCAGAATTTATAAAACCTCCCTTAAGTCGTGTAAATTCGAGGTCCCACGATATTCATACGAAGCGTATTAGGTTCGATGAAGCGTTGTGATAAGAATTCCAATTCACTGCACCCAGGTTGTGCAACGCTACAGATATGCAACGTGGTCGTCCTTGGGACCCACGCATGGGACCGGTAAAAGGGGACTCGTTTCGTCAGTCCCTGCATCTCCAATTAACTGGAAACAACATACGCGATTGACCGTCGAGCCCGTTGCGCTTTTTATCGTTGGTTTCAACACGATCGACTCCGGTCCCATTTTACGAAATCGCCGAGGGCAACCTGGTCGCGCAATAATAAGCAAATTGGGTTAATCGCCAAGGGTAAAAACGTCTATTTATAGGTTCGATCGGTCGATTTTAATAATGCAAAACGAGAACGGCGATCGGAGAAAATGCTACGAAGATCGTGGGACCGATCGATCCCTCGGACGGTCGACCGTTCACTTGGAAACTGTAACGAGGACTTTTGCAAAAGCGCGAGCAAGCAAATACCGCCGTGTTTTCTTCGCTCGACACGCGTGGTCGGCTTTTATCAACGACTTTCGATAAATTGTCCATTCCGTTGTGCACCGAAAACAGCATTCACTTTTCCGCCTCCGTTAATTAGTCGCTGAACCGTGGTTACCTTGGCCAATCGCTTAGAAAATTACACGTGGGCGACAAATTGGGTCACCTTTTTCTTCCATTTTTTACGGAGAAAGCGTTCATGTTGGAGTTATAAATTTTATTTACCCCTTGGATTACGAGATCGACTGAATGGGTCCAACATAATTGCATTCTGTGTTAGTGCTTAGTATTTGATGGTCTCTCAAGGAATTCATTTTTTAAACCTTCCAGTTAACGTTAACGTATTTACCTACGCCACGATCGCAAATTGATTAAAAAATAGAGGCGTAAAGATGGCCACCGGTGCTGCAAATGGCTAACCAAGGAGCTGGATAACGGAAAGAGCTGTTATGCGACCGGTGGTTGGAAAACTTGTACTTTTTACGCGCGATACGCTTCGACGACCTTCGAGTGTGCGTTTTCGAGACCGACGAGCGATTTTCACTGACGAGGTTCGGCGCAGGTCGTTGCATTCGCTTGCTTGATCGAACTTGGAAAAGGAAAAGCGACGCGTTCAACGTTGCGATACGTGGCTTTCAATGTCATTTCTACTTTCGAAAATCGCGTTACGAGTTTACGGAAATCGAATTTTAAAAAATTCCACAGGACTGGACCCTGCAGGACCGCTGTTCGAGTCCCAGGACCCGAGAGCCCGACTCGACGAGACCGACGCTAATTTCGTGGACGTGATCCATAGCAACGGGGAACAATTGTTGCTCGGTGGTCTGGGTTCCTGGCAACCCATGGGCGACGTGGATTTCTATCCTAACGGCGGCAGGATGCAAACCGGCTGCTCCAATCTCTTTCTAGGCGCAGTTTCCGACATCATCTGGTGTAAGTTTACAACGTATTATCGCGTATCGAACGGAGAAGCTTATGTTCCGCTCGTTTTGCCTTTATTGGTAACAGAAATTACTTTAGACGGGTGAAAAGCTATCGATATAGTCGTTAGGCTCGAGTAATTGCACTTATCGAGAACCTGTTTGTTGGAAATATTTTCTGCGCCCTGAAAAGTGATGCTAACTAGTAACCAGTTTTCAGGGTGATTAATAAGGGATCAAATCTGGTTAAAATTATTAAAATTATCTGGTTAAAGCAAGCGCCGTGGAGGGCAGATCCTTGTGCAATCACCGTCGAGCTTACAAGCTCTTCACCGACTCTGTCAGTCCAAAATGTCGGTTTCCTGCGTTCCCCTGCGAGCGTGGCTACGACGGTTTGCTTCGAGGCGAATGCTTCCCCTGCGGATCCAAAGGAACGGGCCGACCTTGCGGCGACATGGGCTACTACAGCGACGAGTCACAGGCCAGAGGTCAGCTCTACTTGCTGACCAGAGACGAGGAACCCTTCTGCGCCCATCAGTACCAAGTCAAGGTCTACAACAGCCACAGCGAGAGGCCCACCAGGAGCTACGGTAAACTACAGGTGACTCTGGTTGGAGAGGGTTCCTTCAACGACTCCTTCGCCATGACGCGCAAGGACGAGGAACTGTTGGTGGGATCGGTTCTCCAGAAGATCATCGTCCCCCATCCCGCGATCTCCAGTTTGGACGCGATCGAAGTGAGTCTCGAATCTGAAAAGAATCGTTCAACGTTAGAGAAGCGTTAGGTTTTTCACTAATTCTCGTTACTCCCTGTTTTGCAGATCAAATACACCGCGTACAGCGGTTGGATCTCCTCGGGTTTAGTGTCCTGGAGCATCGACAAAGTGGCCATCACCGACAGCTTCGGGAAGAGCCTGTCCGTGTGCAGGAAAGGCTTGACTTTAGAGTCCGGTAAACCCGTGTATCTGCCTCTCTTCCCCGGCGAGTGCAACGTGCCCACGGACTCGAGCAACGCGACGACTCCGGTGGCGATGGATCGCCTGGTCCAAGAGAAGCAGGGCGGCATCGGGCCGTTCACCAAAGAGCACAACTACGAACCGAAAGAGACATTCGCCGTAGACGCGTTCCCAAATGACAGAGCGTCCTCCTCGTCCACGGTGAAAGGCTTGGGACCGTTCACGAAGGAGCAGAACCTGAGGATCGCCGAACGGAAGGAGAGTTTCAAGCCCACCGGGTTCGAGGAGTCGACTCGTCGCAGTACCTCGAATCCCTGGAACATCCTCGACATATCTGCCGACGGGGACTCCAATTCCTTGGAGAATGCAGACTCCGAGCGAGGCAGAGGCTTCTCAGGGACCAATTTCTTCCCCAAGACGCAGTCCCCCGATCCTTCGGCGGAAGCAACCACAGAGTTTGCGGCGGAGATCCGCGAACCAGTTTTGCAACTGGGCAAAAAGGAGACTGGAAGGTCTCTGAAGCTCCCGGAGATCACCGAACCGATTCTCGCGCCGCGCTCCGCCAGGCAGAACACCAGGAACGAGGTTCACGGCCGCGAGAAGCTGAAGGACGAGATACAGGAAACGTCGTCGACCACCAGGTCCTTCACCGTCCAGTTCCTCCCGGAGAGGCTGGCGGGGATCCTCGCGCAAGCCGAGAGATACGCCAGGCAGACCCTTCTTCCCTTAATTTCTCAGTACACCCCTAGTTTCGTCACTGGTTCGCGGTTCGAGGAGCCCAAGTACTTCCCACCGTTGGGAGAAATCTCCGCGGAGGACGATCACGACGAGGAGCCCGATAGCACTGAGAATCCTTTCGACGACGAGTCGGAGGAAGTGCCTGCTATCGTCCAAGCGGTCTACCCGGGGAAAACGGGAGCCAATTCGACGGATTCCGAGTCTCAGAAGATAGAAACCGACGAATGGATCCCCATAGAACCCGCCACGACCTTCAACAACGTCGTCACCAGGAGGAACTTCAACGTGTCCAGGTCCCTCGGCTGGGAGAACGCGAGTTACAACTGGTCCACGCAGAAGCTGGATAACAGCAGCTTCAGACCGGAAATTGAGGACTGGGTGCCTCTCGCGAAGGACAACACCTCCAGCGAAGCTAGTACCAGTGCTCAGGAGGAATTTGGAATGGCACAGAGTTCGGAGAGCGGTGTAGAGGATTCGGTTGTTTTAAGTAAGGAAGACAAGAAGTATATACCTCTGGTCAACGCGGAGCTGAGAGAATCGTCGACGACGAGTCCTGAAGACAATGTGGAAGCTCGTCCAAACGAGTCGACGCACTCGAATATACAGAGAATCCCGAGACCGACGGAAACCGAGACTGTGAGCTCTACGAGGAGGAGCATGGTGTTCCCGTACGCGTACGAGAGGAAGAAAGATCCTAGAACTAGATATATACCTCTGATACCGGAAGAGGACTTGGGAAGATCACGTTTCTCCATCGACAGGGAACGCTGAGGACGAGGAAATTTGGAAGAATTCGTGGAATTGTTCGAAGATATTTATTGTGATCGAAAGTTTCTATCGTTTAATAATTGTCGGAAATAACCATCGTTGCTCCCGGTTGGTCCGATCGGATTCTAATGATTATAGTAATGATAATAATAACGTCATTATTATTATCAGTGTGTGATTATTATTGTTATTATTATCAGTATTATATTGTTGTTATTATCAGTATGCAGGATATTGGTAATAAGAGTGACGTTTTCGTTCGAGGTAGAATACGATCGGCCATATTGGACGACTGAGGTTACTAGAAGGCAATTACTTTGTTTTAATTCTACCGTTCATCGTCAAAAAGTTATTTAAAAAATTGTTATTTCGATTGATTGTTACATTTTCTTGGAATTGTATTAGTTATACCAACCTTTGTTGCCCGATGACGATTCCGAACATCGGTTGCCGAGAAAGGCTGTAAAGATGTGTATTTTTTTGGTAAAAATTGGCGCCTTAACTTTATTCTTGTATATAGGAATTTTTTTACAATATATATATATATATATAATATAATATATATGTATAGCTTCGCTGAAATCTGTTTTTCACATTCGTTATATTAATTCTTAAGTATTAGAATTGTTATTATCCTCAGTACCATCGTCATCTTGTATTATCCCAAATCGCGTTTTCCTCTTTTAATTATTTATGTCGAACGGACGATCGTAAGAGCGAAATCCCACTGTTGTTTGACCCTTTGTATGTATATATAACGACCCGATCTTGGAAATCGCGAAAAGTTTCGCTGAAATAGTATTATAGTTTGTTTTCACGTAATAATATGTACAGCTAGTGTCTACGCGCGTCCACGTTCACCGTGGTCCAGGTAGACGATAGTCACGAAAAGAAAAGTATTGGAAGAGACGATTTAAGTGGACTTCTAAGTGTGTCTATCTACAGTATACCTGTTTTTACTTAAAATAAATAACCCTCTTTAAGAAGAAAAATGCGCCTCTCGGTCTCGCAAGCCCGACGTACTTTTTACCCATTTACTCCGCATCGTTTTTCTCACACACACACACACGCTCTCTATCTCTCAATCTTCCATCGTATACTTTACTCTCTTTCTCGCTTCCCATTCGACGATCATCTCTCACGAGCAACAAATTTTTTCAGGATATGCCCACTCCTGATATGTCCGCGACTATTAAAAATAAAACCCATTCGCAGTCCTTGCTTCTACGTTTCTTCAGGTACCGATTGACGCGTCGAAACAGAACGCATCCGTTCTTGTACAGCCCACTCGATGCAGAAGTAAAACATTCGTCCCCGAGAAAACGGAAAACACGACTTCCGGATGATAATTTCTTTCGGTCGACGCCCTTAAAAACGAAATCTACGATAGACAATGGAAGAGGATCGAACGACAGCCTAGGAGCGAATTATTGATCACCGGGCCCGCGTAATTACTCTAGCATCGATTCAACGGAGAGAATCTCGGCTCTTCTGGTCGACGGTGCATTCCGTTAGGCAAGGAAGAAGGGACTGCGAATTATCAAAAACTTACTACTTACATACATATTTAACAAACACGCAGTCTTATCAAGTAGAACCCGTGAACGAACTCTGACAAGTAAAAAGGTATAGTGTGGCCTATCACTCTAGTAGAAATTTGGTTCGATTCGTCCCGCGACCAGGTCGTCGTGACTTACGCTGATGCGCCATGTAATAGCTACCCAAAATCTTTACGATTTATTAATCTGCCACGCTGGCCACAGTATCCTCTCGGTAAGCGTGCCAAAATAATAAAGAAACGGAAGGATCTCCGATACGTCTCCGATTGAAGATAACTGAAAATCGATCCCCCGGGATTCGAGAAACGAACAGAATCGAGGAGAACTCGGGATCAGGAAGACTATTGCCAGGGGGGGGCCGCTCCGAGAATACTGTGCTCGCGTAACACGTCGTGTAACTAAAAAGCGACACTGCGCATGCCACATCGAGTTCGTTTCTTCATCTGCTGGTACATCGGTGACCTTCGAAATTATGCTCCCGCAACGGGCGATCGAATTCACGGGACAGAACATGTCAACCCTTTCTATCGATAATAATTAACCGCCCAAGGTCACATTTTTCACAGTTTTCACGGAACTTTTTGCGCTTTCCGCCCCTCGAACGCAAGGGGCGGAGCGAAAAGTCGAATAGGCGGAACAACGAGGCGGAATGGAGGGGGGTGGTCGCCAGGCGACCTTGAGCGGCTAAATATTCTCTGCCCGCGATACTTTCCCGCGCAACGGAGGCACGATCTCGAGGAAACGACCAAAGGACACGCGCGACTTCTTCTTCGTACGCTTTCAAACACACGCACCGCACACGCACTCGATACGGGCTATCGTGCACATTCTGAGTTCCATTTGTATTCTCCAATATTATTATTATTTTTTTTTCTTCGGTTATTCGAAACCGGACATCGTAATCGCCTCTCTTCATTTCTCTCTCGCTCAGTCACGCTTTTGTTGTTCTCGGAACACTTAAGTTATTAGCGCTACGACGTACAAAAGATAAGGCCGCCACGATAATACACTGACTAGATCAGTTTCATTTGCTCTCTCTCCCTTTCTCTCCCGAAAACGGACCGTCGTCCTGATTTTTTACGTCAACAAAAATATTCAAGACACGCGGTGTCATCTCTGTCAACAAAATATACTATGTCTCCTTCTCTTCGTACCGAGTACTAATTCTAAGACGCCCGCGACGCTCCGCGCGGGGGCGTCGCGCGCTGGGGGGAAGTATCCGTCGCTCAATCGGAAATGTAATAAACACATTCGTCTAAGCACAGCGGTAGGCCCTGATTGAATCCTCGTATCTCGCGAACACGCGCACGATGATACTATACAACAGAAGACGGCAGTATGAAAGGTCACAGGTATCGTGTACGGGGGCGTAATTCGCAGCGACACTGAAAAGTAGCCATTTCTCTTGTCCATGTTGTTGAAAGACTTCCTTCTATAACCAGCACTTTTGCGGATAGCACTGAGACTTTGGAGGGTAGTTTCACTACCAGCGTGGAAAAAATATACTTTTATTTTCAATTACCCTACGATCCTGCGGTACTGAGTGTGTGTTCCTCGTAACTGAAACTCGTGAAATGAAATTCTTTATCCGTGCAAGAGAAAATCCCCTTCTCGGTACCGCGCGCCCCGTGTAACAATAAATAAAATAAAAAGCGTAAAACTGCATCGACAACCCAACCGACCCACCCAGGGCAGGATGCCTGAAATCAAACTCTTGAACAGCTCTTCTTTCGCGAGGAAAGAAGCGTGCCGTTTTCTCCTGTACATCGTCGTAGCTCTCGGGGAGGGATGTCTGCGTCGACATCCTAGCAATCGATATGAACGCGTCTAACAACGTTAACTCCAATATTTGGCGCCAAAAGTAGCGGATGTACAACGTTGAACCAAGGGGGAAACGACTCTCGCGGTACACAACGCACTGAAACCCGTGTTCAACGTGGCTGATTTGCAACTGGTATAGTTCGCGTCTCTATTTCTATCGTCGTAGCGATTAGGTAAAAAGTCGGTTAACGTGGATAAGGACGGAGGTGGCTAACTAGGAACTGCGAGGCACTGCGCGAAAGGTTAAGAACACGAGCAGTCTCGAAACGAAACGCGTATTGCTTTCTTCGAACCCTTGGAACTCGAACTGTTTTCTCGAACATTGTACATCGTAGGGAAATACGTTGGCCTCGGAAGAATCTCAAGTACTCACAAAACTAACGCAACAAACGTTCCATTACTCTTTTTTTTTTCTATTTCTTTCTTTTTTTTTTTATTTTTTTTTATACGCAAAATACTATCGACGCCGTCTTTCTTCCGTCGCCGTCTAGCATCTCTGCCGCGAAAGGTCGAGTACGGGACCAGGGCAAACGTCCAACGACAGTTCTCGCGGGCGAAACGACCAAACGTGCGACAACGGCTTCGTCGAACGCGGTCGTACGGATCAATAATGTATGTAGATTATCAAAAAACATCACAGTCGGGTTACTAGATTTTAGAGAGAAGCGTCTGATGAACTCGCGTTCGGACTATGTTTCCATCGATCGTCGACGAAGTGGTCGCTTCCGAGCGTGTTTCGAGGTTTGCTCGGATCGTCGGTCCCGACGGAAACATAGCCGTGCCTCGATTCCGCTTACAGTTCGGTCGTTTCTCCGGCGACTACGTCGTCGTTCCGTTTGGACTGCTCAAGATTCTCGATACCGTCGTTGCCCCGTTAGAGATTGGATCGCGAACACCGGCAGCAAAACCAAGAAACCCTAAAGGACGAATTCTACGAGACGCGCCAGCGACGCGTATCACTTCTTATCGAACAGGGGCAACTTGCTGCGCACCGCACCCTCGCAAACGACCAACCTCTGCGCGGCGGAGATGCTGCAAAGAGGAACCGGACCCTCCAAGCTGGCCTTCAGCAGCGTCAATCTGCTGGAACCGGCCTCGTGGTCGGCCAGTCTCAAACTCCCGGCTTCCTTTCTCTCGAAATACTCGACGATCTTCGAAATCGTTTTACTGGAAGACCCGATACCACTCAACTTATCCTCCCAGCACGAGTCACCGCCACCCAGACTCGCTATGTCCTCGGACGAGTCGGTGTAGATCGAGCTGGTCCGGTGATCGTCTAACAAGAACAGACTGCTCGCCGCCGAGCTGCTCAGAGTCGAGGTATGTCTGCGATTAGGCGGCTCGGGGCTCAGGTCCTCGCCCACGCAGCTCCAGAACCCGGACTCGCAGCTGCCGCGTCTTCTGGGCTCCCATCCGTCTCTGAACAACGGATGGGTGAACAGACTCGCGGCACCTACCTTCGTTGCCACCTGAAAACATAGTAGAATAGTCCTGGGGTTACTAGGGTTCGTTCTTGGGGATGGTAGTTTGGACTTGTTTGGAATTATTGGGTTGGAAAGGATTCTTTATCGAGCATGTTCCGAAAGGTTTGGAGGACTTCTCGTCCCAATGATTCTTTCGACTGGGTCTGGATCGCGATCGAAAGTCAATCGTTACCTTTCGTTCCCACTTCTTCCTGGCAGTGGGGCTGCTGGGCTCGGAGTTGGGCTTCTTCCTGTCCAAGATCTTGGCGATACTGTCGTTCTGCGCGGGCTTGAACTTGGCGATAGCATCGGTGACGCTCGGTCTGACGTCCTCGAGAGACGGGAGCTCCAGGCAGCTGGAGAACAGGTCCCCGAGGATCTTCTTGACGCCACCCAGCGCGTGGAACGGATTGGCCGTCATGGGCCTGTAGTGAGGGTCCCTTCTGCTCGCCAGCTCGGCGACCCTCCTCGCGGAATGGCATCTCGCCTTGTCGGAAGGCGTCGCGTTGTCGCAGCCTCTCGCGTCCGCGGACTGACTCCTCAGACGAGCCGTCTTCCGCTTCGTCGGTCGTCCCTCGCGCGTGATCTCGTCCATGCTGGACATCAGGGCCGGGTCCACCGACTGCCGTTTACCCATATTGCCCTTCGATTCGTCCTCGCAATTGGCGATCATCCCGTCCAGGTTCGACGCGATCTCCGGGAACGTCGGCCTCGACTTTGGCTCGTACTGAAACGAAAATGGGAAATAATTATTGCAATGATTTCCATTAAGTAAGATAATTCAGTTGAGATTGAAAGTCCACTGAAGGCTTAAAATTATGTAGGAAGATTTTATATCGTTTAGCATCTCCAAGTTACAAGCTTTTATTCTACTTCTTATTGCGTATTATTATTATTGTATATTTATAGGGTTACGAAATACGTAGCCTTGAAATAGTTTTACAATGTCGTCGTCTAGAAATTATCTACAGAAGACGTTGCGGTGGCATGTTTATAATGGACCATTTTCCTTCGTCGTACGAAACTTGACGCAAGAGGTGATCTCACCTACGATTTCGTAACATTTGTAAAATACTATCACCAACAATACGTTCTGACTGTATTTGCCACGGTTGCCAATGTACAATTTTAGAATACGACCAGCGAATCCAACGAGCGTGAAGTTATCCTCCTTTTCACTGTCCATCGATGCAACTCATATTTAGTCGGTCTAACAAAGTAGATGCAATCTTGGTATTTAACAGTTCTCAAATAAAATCTAACGAGTCAGAGCGTGTAAAAGAAGGGTGGTCAAAGCGACGAAATATGGGATGCTTAGTGAGAAAAGTATGGAATAAAAGTAGCTACTCACCGTGCAACAATGGAAGGCAAGTTGCAGGAAGGCGGGTGGTGGATCGGCGGCGGCGCAGATCTCTGCCACGGCCAGGTAATCGAGGCCAAAGTTATCTGACCGTGGCAGAACGTCCGGATCGGCCGGCACGCGGCCGATCAGCTCGCAGACGACGATGCCGAACGAGAAGACGTCCGACCTGTGATCGTACCACTGACCCTTGAGGCATTCCGGCGACATCCAGTAGGGGCTGCCAACGGTGCTGAGCCTGTAACCCGAGCTGGGATCGGGGATCTTGGCGGCGAGACCGAAATCGCCCACCACCGCGGTCAGCTCGGACGTGTGCTCGTCCTTCTTGATCAGAACGTTCTTGGACGTGAGATCGCGATGAAAGAGTCCGCGGCTGTGCAGATAGGTCATGCCGCGAGCCACGTCGCGCGCCAGGTTCATCCTGATCAGGTGCGGAAGCGGTGTGTGCCTGGACATGATCAGCTGCTCCAAGCTGCCTCCGTTTATGTACTCCGTCAGGGCGTGCAGTTGACCCTCGTGCACGCAGACTCCCATGAACCTGTAACCGGCCGTGTTCACGCTCAGAATCGCGGGAACCACCAGGGATCCGAAGGTCTATACTTACGGGAGACGTTTATTCTATTATTCTCTAATTCCCGGGGAACGTAATGGCTACTATTTTACCCGTGCAATTATCAACATCGTTGTTATTACCGTAATTTCTGGGCTCTGGAACCCGGTCGATTGCAAGACGTCCACGAGACCCTGTTACGAAGCTGCGAACGTTCGCGTAATCGAGGAGCAGCCCCTTTAAAGGAGCACGAATTTCTGTCTTCGAGCCTAATCGCGCTACCTGTGGGAGACGAGTCTAACGCAACCGGCGTCGCAGAGATTTCGCAGCGTCCTCGGGGGCAATTTTTGCGAGATTTCACCGATCGGCGGGGACCTTCGTTCCTCCTTACACGGCGAGACGACGTTTTCCGAGGCGCGGCGTACGAGGTTTAATTACCAAGCCGCGGCCGCCGCGGCTCTCTTTGCCAATCTACGCACGAAGCGTCGAGTTGTTACTCGCCTCGTTACTCATCTTTCCCTATAAAGGCCTGCGACCTTCGTGTCCCGGCCCGAGGATAGCCGCAGGACGAAGGTCTTCGACCCAGAACAAAAGGACCCGGGCGAATAAAACGAGAAAAATCGCTACGATATGAAACACAGAGACTAGCGGGCCGGGTCAACGATTGTTTCTCGTTGTCCGTGCCACTGAAAGCCAACAGAACAATGCCCGCCGCCAAGATATTTGCGCGAACTGGTCCCCGCGGTATCGAACGATCGGACGTTTCTGACAATATCGGCGACCGCGAGTTTAGACGGGAATAGCCGCGACGCTTTTTCACCGAGTTTGTCGTTTCGCAACGAAACGAATCTCAATGGCTATAAATAGATTACCTAGCGAGGCTTGACATTTGTTTCCTTTACGTACAGAAATACGTCCAACGCAGGGAACACACGATGCATCATCGATAGCGCGTCCAGACATCCCTGACACATCGACGCTAGAAAGGACAATGGCGGAAATTGACCAAGTTTGGTCCTGGTCTGCGATCAACGGTGTTCGTGGAATATCTCTAGTTTCTGCGGGTCGAAATTACTCTGTGGTGAATTTATCTCATTGTGTACTGCAATTTTTTGAACCCACAAGTGTGTTTAATGCGAATAAGAACTGTGGTATCGAACGTAACTGTTTCGTGACAAAGCGTTGGACTTAAAAAAGATCTTGCAATGCTAGTAGATAAGATACAGAACGGAAAGGACGATACATCATCGTTACAGCCGCTTCATAATCTCGACAAATCACAATTAGGAACTTTAAAGCGTTAGTTATCGTAGTATCTATATTGATACGGTATCGATGTGTCATCTGTAATCCCTGAGAAAGCTAGCTGTGATATTGATGAATCGATGGAACGTTCTTTTTCTTTTCTCGAAGGATCAAGGTTCCAGAACATCAACGTGCACTGCAATTCTTATGATGTACCAACAAGAAATCTCCATCGCTATTTATGTGGTTTTGGACTCGGAATAACAAATATAAAATCGAACATTTTCTAAGAATTCAGAAGTCCAAATTATCGCAATTATAATCATGCAATCAGTAGACAGTTTGCCGCAATAATTCTCACGTACAATTGTTATAAGCGATGGGAATGCGTGTCCAACGGCGCTATTAAGAAAAGAAAATCGCGTTAATTTTCTAGAAAATGATTATGACCGTTTCCAACGATTTGCTTTCCCAGGGAAATGTGTGCAGTTTTTTTCTCGCGCCAGTCGTGCACAAACCGTGACGAAGTTTGCTTCTTCGTGTCCGTGCGAGGGTAAGACGATTAAAGAGGGTTCGTATCGATTCGACACGATGCTCTATTGACACCCACAGAGCTTCTGACGAAGCTCCGTTCGTTCTAGGAAAATGCTAGCTCGGACAGAGACCGTTCTATCCTTTGTGTGTTTGATAACCGGGCGACCGGAAAATTCGAATCGTTTGAAAGGCAGCCGGAAAGTTTTTACCACAGGTATACGAGTACACCTTATATTCAATGTATTCTTTCGGCCCATTAAAAATCTTTTAAACATACGCATGAAATTTTGAAGACATTATATTTTCGATAAAGAATTTTTTTCTCAAATGTGCGTAAGATTTCGAGGGTATATGTATTGCACAAAAATGATTGTAATTGACCACCCTGGCTAAAAATAATTTTTTTAGAACGATTTGACATTTTTTTTTTTCGCCGAAAAATTTCGGCACATACTCGAATTTTTTTCTCGAAAGTGAGTAGAATTTCGGGGGTATATCTATTCACCGAAAATGATTGTAATTGACCCCCGCAACTGAAAATAATTTTTTTGGAAAGATTTGAAATTTTTTTTTTCGCCGAAAAATTTCGACACCTACCCGAATTTTTTTCTCGAAAGTGAGTAGAATTTCGGGGGTATGTCTATTCACCAAAAATGATTGTAATTGACCCCCGCAACTGAAAATAATTTTTTTAGAACGATTTGAAATTTTTATGAAATTTCAGGGGAATGGATCAACGGTATGGTCAGACATTCTATTTTTGGTAAGAAATTTTTTTCTCGAAACTGCGTAGGATTTCGGGGGTATGTGTATTCACCAAAAATGATTGTAATCGACCCCTCCAACTGAAAATAATTTTTTTAGAACGATTTGAAATTTTTTTTTTCGCCGAAAAATTTAGGCACTCGAATTTTTTTCTCGAAAGTGCATAGGATTTCGGTGGTATGTGTATTCACCAAAAATGATTGTAATTGACTCACGCGACCAATAATAATTTTTATGAGACCTTATCGCACACAAAAGAAAGTACGACTCTTCTCCTCCATTGCCTGGGACTTTCGATCGTATTTTGTTGCGATTATATAAATCCAGATAAGGTTCATAAATTCCAACGAGGATTCTAGGAATAATGACGACCAAAAATTTGAAGCTACTCTGCCAGGAAGTATCAGCAACGATCTGACAGCGAAGGTGTTAGAGAAGAACGCGTGTTAAACATTTTTCGCGAAGGCGTACGATAAGATAAAAGCAATTACCGGCGTAAATAGTGGTATAATAATTTTTTCTCGAGATCGTCGTTACTCGGCAACGCATCAATTTTCCTCCAGGAAATGGAACGTCCGCCGTTTCCTTGGAATATTCACGAGCAAACGATTTCCTTTTCTAAAACGGCGAAAACCTGTTATTACCGAGTCAATATGAGATTCGCTTATCATTCGATTCCGTATCTGCGCCGCGTGTTATTTTGTTTCGTCGGAACCGAGACGATCTCTGGCGCGCGATTTATCTCCCTATTCATCTACGTGTTGTCAGCAGACGCGAGTAATTGCCAACGGTCTGTATCGTTTTAGTTTCACGCGAGAGGCGATAGAATCGACGCTCTACAGAAAAGCCTGTGTCGGCTCAGCGATTCTACTCGAAGATTAGATACAAAACTCTGCAGGTGGCTTCGGGAATGGGGCAAAGTTGAAGTTCGTTTAGAATGTCGACTGGTCGAACGTCATGCCCTTAACGTGACAAGTCGGTGTCGCCGGTAAGCGCCAATTAGCGCCAGGGGCCTCATTGTTAACCGTTATGTCTTCGTCTCTAAACTGCACGCCTATTCGCGCCGCGTTAACTCCAGTATCGCTGGTAATTTATACTATATTGTTCTCTGCGAATACTCAAAAACAAAAAAATCAACGCGATATATAAAGTAGATAACTGATAGATACAAACAATGTCCCAATACCTGGTAATTTTGGCTACTTCATATTATTTAATCGTACAGCTTGTATTCTTAATTTCCGTACTTTGGAATCGTCTATCATTTTTATAATCTCCATTCCGATCGAAGTATAACGCGCTATTGGCTTATCGAATTCTCGGTATCTCACGATAGCGCAATAACAACAGATCGGAGATACCCTATATTCGTAAAGCCTCGATTTATCCGGAATCTAAAGCCCTTAGATATTTTCCTTTTATCTGGAATTATGAAACGCGTGTATCGTCTTCCTATTACTGCTGGCAATAAAGAATCTAGCGTAATTTAAATTTCCTAGATTCACGCGAGCCAAAAGATCGTGGAGTTAAAGATGCATGTTTAGCACGCGTAACCGCCGATTAAATTTCACCGCGAAGAATTAATTAACTGTCCGACGAAGCATCGTAATTAACAATTATATAAAACACGGGTCAGCAAGCTACGTTCCGCCAGGCAGAAACAATTCTTAACGAAATTTTCAAACGTATTGTTGATCTTTAAATGGAAAGTACGATATGTGGAAAGTCCTCGATAAGAGTCACGAAGCTGTGCTCGCTCCGGAGACTTATAACGAGGTATGGCAGGTGATTCCACTCTAAAAATCAACAGAAAGCCTCGCAATGTAATCTTTTACATTTTTTGTTAGCTCTTCGTGAGAGTAACGAATGGAAATTAGCCGAAACACTATCTCGTTCGAACTGCTTATAATTAAGATCAAGTTTCTCAGAAGCATCGAGAGTTAGTATAATTGGAATTCTTTCCCGATTCTGTGCAATCTTCGAAGATTATACAAATCCTGACATTAAGATCGCAATATCGTACATACTTTTTCCAGCGATATTTTCTCGATGAACACCGTCTCGTCTCAACTATGTTCAATTATGCAGGCTGGAAAGTTTCTACGATGCAGCACGAGTTAACGCGACTGGATTTCTTTCTCGGGTCTGTCTACTCGGTTGGATGTTTTTCAAGTTTTTCACAGGCCCCGGAGCGGCGGTTTGAATTTCCCGCACGAAAGTAGTTACGTCAGCGCGTGTTATGAAAGTTCGCAGGATGTTATTGAGACCGGTATCAAATTCATCGTGGCAACAACCGGACGTCAACAATTGAAGCGATAGATATTAAGATTAATATCAGCGCGCAGACGCGTTCCACGATGAATTACCGGCCGATTCGACTTTATCGCGGTTATCGCGATATCCTAGATAGCACGATCGGAAACTACGTGTTGGCCGTTGTTACGATCGTGCGACCGTCGACACCGTGAAATTCGCACGCGATCTTGCAAATCGCGCTGCGAAAGATAACTTGACACTGGATAATGCACGTTGCTTCGATAAACAATATTTGACAAAATCTACGTTGATCCAGGGATTTCAAGAATCTATTCTTGAAAATTTCGACTATTCTGGGGAAACACGGTGTATATTTTTTGGAACTCCCGTTGTCTTAGGTTTCCCCCTTCGAGCGTGCTCGTTACTTCTTTGTCGACGAAACGTTTCGTGCCACTATCGATTTAATCGCGAAACAGCCGTCGAGCTAGTGTTTCAGCGAAACAACGGGGATCGACGTTGATACTTCCTAAATGGCCAGATAAGATATACGGAATTCTTACAGCGACAAACAATAAATATTATCATATCACGGTGGGTATTGTATTTCCAACTATCGATGTATGTACTGGGTGTCTCTAGAGATAAGCTCGGTATGAAACGCTAGCTAGACGATAAGATATACGAAACAACTCCGCGGGGACTTCGATTCGCTGGTGTTTTTCATTCTGTATCCGATACCTCGAGACAGCTTTCTTATCATTTCAAGGTTATTACAAGGTCGGTTGCAACGATATAATAATAGTAGCAATAACGATACGTCCCCATTGTATTGCAATCGTACGCAGCATAAATCGTCGATCGAACAAAAGGATAAATGAACACAAACTGAACTGTAATCGTAGGTTGATAGTGTATTTTACGAGTCTGCAAAATGAGTCGTGAAGACTTTTTAATTCGCGGTTTAATTTAATTTACGAGATAAACTCGATGGGTCGGATTGGCCCGCGGGTCGGATTTTGTGCATCGCTGGTTAAGAGTAACGCATTTATCTATTTAGAGATCATTGACGATCCCCGCGGCGTGGAAACGCGGCCAATATTAGGGACGCTTCGAATACCGCTAGATTTTAAGAACCTATCGAATGCAAAGTCAACGAACCGACGATCGTAACGATAAAACAAGAGTTTGAACGTTGATTTACCGCCATAGAACTATCAAACCTGATTTTACGACGTAAACGAATGCTTCATGAAACATGGACAGATCAATTTCAATTTTTTCCCCCACATTTTCTTAAGCCTTGTCCCTCTGGTCACTGGAAATATGTATTCTCTTGAGAATAACAGGAGATTTGGAGGGAAAAATGTTTTATTCTATTCAAAATAGATTCCTTCAGCGACGACAGAACGATTTGCACGGTCCATCAATGACTATTGTCCTTTTGTGCCATAACGACTTCCTTTTGTGGTTCTTTCGCTTTGTTTCTAGATCGTACTGAAAACACCGGTATCTCGTCATCGGTAACAATTGGTTCGAGGCAGTTTTGTTCCTCACAAACGGTTCTAACATTTTTCTAACCTACTTGAGATCCAAGAGTACACCCAGCTCTGGTAGTCAAAGCAGTCGATAATTTAAAGAAATTATTACCAATACGCCAAAACTGGGGCAAAGATAAAATCTGTGCTCACCAAGCCAGAATATCCACGTGAATCGAAAAGTCATCGAATCGAACGTGCCGTATTCGCAATCCATGGTCCAGCAAATCCGTCCACCGCCCACGGGCGACAGGGAGGCGCGTGGTATCGAAAGGGTTGAATAAAAAATAGCTGGAGGGAAGTCTTTGTTTGGTCTATCGTCGCTCGATAACTATTCGCGCAACAATCGACTCGCCACGTGTGTCGACGAGGCACTCGACCGAAACAAAGGAAGCAATTCCGAAGCGTGGCTCGGCGGGAACTCTGTGTCACCCGGGTCCGAGCATAATTTCGAACAAAATTGGAAAGTGAAATAGCCTACTCGAGTCAAATGGCGAACCAGTTATTCGTCGCCACGTTCCTCGGGCTCACGAATTTAAATTGGCGATCGATCGAAGCGGCAGAGTAAAGAGTAAAGCGGCTCGTAGTAAATCTCTATGTCGACACGGATGGTATTTCGAGAGTATCGACCGATTTCATTCATCCATATTCGCTTGAATCCGAGCTGGCCACACCTGGCGCGGAGCATCGATCCAAGAGTTACGAAATCCTAAGCGATTCGTTGTTTATTAGAAATCTGAGTCACCTAATAAGCGCTCCGTTCTACAAGCTGACTCGTTACGGGGGCCTAGGGCTGCTATTAATTCAAGGAATTGTTCAAGTATATTTTATATAGAGGTTCACAGTTTTAGATGCTCCGAATCGATGATATTTTCTTTTATAAGGACTTTGACGATTTTAATTTTAGTGGAAGATCGACGTCGAGTGGGATGCCATGTTGAGAGTGGAGTTGGGCAAGTTTTGAGAAAGATCGCGCTGTCGGTGGATCGGAGAGGTTTTTTTCAATGGAGCTGAGTCACTCGAGCGACGCCGAGAGACGCGTCCCGTCGCGGCGCGCGGTGTCCGCGGTTTTCGCAGCCTTCAACGAGAGAAATGCCAGAAATAAGATCCCGCTAGCCGCGCGGGATAAACACACGCACACACCGGCGAATCTGGGCCAAGCCGTTTATATCGTTGGAATGCGTTGTCGCCGCGGATGCGACGCGTCTAGTCGAGAGCATCGTCGCGGTAAGCTACCCGTCGCCATTATGTCATATCTCGTAACTCGCGAACCACGGAACTCTTTTGGCATTAGCCCCGCGTCCGGTCGGGACCCGGGTTGACGCAACCCTAACGGATCGCTCTGTTTTCGATCCGACAGCCACTCTTTCGCGCCAAATCCCCTCGCGTTCGCGCCGACCAACGGTCGGAGGAAAAACACCAAAATTGAGTCAAACTTCTAAAATAATCTGCCTGGCAAATTGTTACAATGGTCCATAAATACTCTTATCCTCTCTAGTTTTGTAGTGAGTAATGTTTTAATGCACGAGTCGAGGGATTCGATAGAAAGACAAAAGAAAGGGGTGCCATCTTTTCTGGAACATTGTATAAAAAGAACCAAAATACGAAGCCATAAATCTGCTTTGTCTATCTCGAGCCGGAGTATACACATCGCGCCAGATAAAATATAGAATTTTATTAGAAAGGTTTCGAACATAAATCGTTGTGCTTAGCTTCCTGCAAATTAGGCTGCATGGTGCGTACGCCGGTGCATAATTACGATCTTATCCTTGGTAGACTCGATACGCGAACACTGGAACATCGCGGAAAGTTGGCCGATGGTATCTTAGCTCGCAAAAATCTTTATGCTCGAATAAATTGTCCAACTATCCTCGAGCTTGTAAAACACGGCGCTCGTTGTGGGCCACTTTCTTCGACTTCCTTGAATGTTTAAGCTTTTAATAGAAACCCTGGATTATACCTGAGTATGTTCGGATGACTGAGCTTGTTCATCAGTTGCACCTCCTTCAGCATGTTCGGCCTGTTCGCCGGCAGCTGGTTCATCTTCAGGACCATCACCTGACTCGTCACTTTGTGAGTAACCTGGAAATCAAGCACACAGATGGTGAGAACGATTTCGTCGTCGTTTTTCACGCCGCGAACCGCTACATATTTTATCCTCGAACACCTCCCACCCCGGGACCCGCTTAAGTGCTTTCCGATTTGCCACGCAGTTACGAAACACGGCATATGCGGTAATCGTCGCCGCGAACCTCGAAAGTTGTTCCATCTTCACACGTTTTTCAGAATTTTTTATTCGTGCCTTTGTCAACCGGAGGACTTTAAAATACAATATTTTCAGGGCAACGATTCGAATCGACGTTTTAGAAACGTTCGACGAAAGAAACGACCAACGCAAAAGAGGGTCGTTCGAGGTTTGCAATTCAGCACGTTCAGCGAAAGAAAATGCGGAGAAACGTAATTCGTGCGGTCCAGATGGTTGGAATTATCGCTGATGTATGAGAACAAAAAGCTAATTGAGCTGCCGACGAACGGGCGAAGGAACGAATTTACATACTGCTCGTAACGTTTCGCGGTCTCGATTATTAATTATTTGTAGAGATTGTACCAGATCGCAAGTTCGATCGAGTTTTCGCGACCGGAAACTTTACTTTCTCGCGTACGGGAAAATGATCGCGACGCGTATCCCGCTGTAATTAAGCGTTCTCGTTCAACGACGATGCGAGACGTCGTTCCGTCCCGATCGCGTCGCGATATCAGCACGCCCACGTTTTCACAGCTCGATAGGACGCCAGGGAACGATTCACACGAGACAGAGGAGGCACTTATTAACGAAACGAGATCATAAAGGAGCTTGAATCATCGCGATTCGAGAATCGCGGATGTAAACCGCGTCATTGGTATCCGTGGACCATTGTTTCCGGCGATGATGCCATTTCCAGGGGACTCGTCATCGGTCAAATTCCGATTAAAACCATAAATCGGGAAAACCGACGGTCGACACGCGCGTTTTGTATCCTCGACGTCGCGAAGCGTTCACCGTTACCGAGGGATTTAGGATTCGCGCGCAAATTGGTCCCATCGAGGACACGCGCGGGGGCGGAGGCGTCGGGGAAAAAGGAAAGGGGCCACGGGGAAACGTTTCACGACGAGAAATTCGATCAAGGGGAAAACGAAGACGACGGGCGGTGTCGCGAGGTGGAAATTCCGCGGGTTAAAAAGTCGAGAATATCCAAAGGGAATCTGGCCAGGATTCCTTGGCAGTGGCTGGCTTAGTTGGGCCGCGGCCAAACGATGACGAATACGCGCGGAGCCGGCCGGGTAAACAGAGCGCCTGCAAATCGACCGTTTCGCGAAAAGAAAGAAAAACAAAGGAAAAAAGAACACGATGGAAATGAGAAGGCGAAGCTAACGAGAACCCCCCCTGGGTCCTCTCGAATTCTTGTCGCCGTGTAACACGCGCCGTCGCGAAAAAGAAATGCGACTCGACGGCTCCGCGGAGCTGGTCGGACGCGTTTCCAGCCGCGAACTTTTAATCGAATTCAACCAACTTCGATATAATGTTTCCAACGCGGGTCAGAATCGTTCACCGGATCGATATTCCCGGAGTATCGTGTTCCTGGCCACGCTCGAGGAAACCTGCACTTCTTTTTTTTCCATCGTCGTTTATCGACGACCTTTTTACCGTGTATGGTTACTCGACCTCTTCCTGTTCGTTGTATTTTGCGTTCAACTCTAACATTATTCTTAAAATAATAAGTATCAGAGACCGTGAAAAGGTCGTCAGGTGTGTACCAAGCGAATTAGCCTCGTTTTTTAATTATTTTTGAGAGCAAAAAATGTTTCCCCCGATCGATTAGGCGAGGGAACTGTTCGTAGTTTCCGTCTGAGCGTCGAAGGAGTTAATTACGCGACAGCTTTGTTCGCTTGGGAAACGGGGCCTCGAAATATCGGTGTCTTTTTGCCAACGACGAAACTATGCCAAGCAGTTTTCACCCGGCGGCTGAAAGCAAGTCGTCCCCGCGGCGAACTTGTCTTCCGAGCTTCGCGAAAGTCACCAGCCGCGAAGATGCCGAAATAATTAGCTGCGCCGATTCATTTAAATAATTCTCACTGTCTGCTCGACGTTGCGTGTTTCTCCGTGCACTCGGGGCTCCCATTGTTACCGGACGCACAGAGAAAGCACGCGGTGATTATTATACCGCGAGTGATTAACGTTCCGACTGTTTCTCTACGCACGCGAACCACCGTGAACGACTTTTTTTAGCAACGCGAAACCGAGATCCCGAAACAAGATGGACAAATTTCATTCACCGACTTGCCGAACGCAAATTTCGATCCCGTTCGCGTATCGTCGGCAAAATTAATTTGCAAATTAATAAATCGTTTGCAAGATTGAAAAGAGCCAAGCCTCCCAGAGCTTATTCGTGCAAAAGTTTATTAATTATACCCTATGTGACTAGAGAGGAGTATAAGGGAGTGTTGCTATCGTGCCTGTATCAAATTTAGTAATTGGTCCAGTACAGGTTGTTGATTAAAATAAAAAACGAGCACGGGGGCACTTTCTGAATGTGCAGGTACCTGTCGAAATTCGCGCGAGTTAATAGTCGTTCACCTTTATCGTTCGACACTTAAATCTTGCCTTAATACTAGTTTGCGACAGGCGTTCAATTAGAAGCACGTAAATTTAAATACCGATATTACGCAAAAGTTTCGAAAAAATATGAGAATCTGGACAAATTCAGGGAAACAGAACCGTAAGGCAAAAGCACCAGTAAGGCGAATGGTTTATCAACACGCGACAAAGATCGATACTTCACGTTAGGAATATTTATTATATATTAGCTAACGTCCAAGTATTTTCTCGTTTCGTTCCACAGTGCGGCAGTGTTAGGTTACTAATGAGTTACCGAAGCAGAAAAGTAAAAGTTTTATGTCATTCGCTTTCACAGTTTCCTACTAGCTGTGACCGTTTTCAGTTACTCTCACTGTTTCGCACTTTCTTTTGTAATATAATCAGAGTTAATCAAAGTTGATCAGAGATCAATTTTCAAGTCCTCTCTTCGTAAGTGTCGCGGCCGCGTCTGGACTGCGCGACACTTACGCAGACGACTCACTGCGATTCACCGTTCTCGGTGCCCTTTGAACTAAGAATTTTCTAGTTTTTACCGAATATAGTTTACATTAGAAATGCTGCGTTAAAATGTTATTTATCGTGCTGCATTCGGTCCAGACGGATAATAAATTTGTTAAGTGCACTAGGGTGCAAGAGGGAAGTCAGGGTGACCTCGCGACGACGGTAAAACGAGCTCGACGATTAAAAGCGATGGGCCAATTAGGGTGTGGTCGAACGTGTTGGAGATTTTGTAGATTCAAAGGCTTCCGGAAAGAGGCGGCGTCTGAAAGGGTGCCGTCCAACTGAACTGATTTCCATTAGCGCGATGGCGACGGCTTTGTCGGTTAAGAGACCAGCGAGAGTCTACTTTGACGCATTAACTCCGGGATAAAAAAATTAGTTCGCGCTGAACGCGCTAATTGTTCGGCTGATTCAATAAGACTCGGGGACAAGATCGCCGCCGACTATCCGACCAGATACGAGCGGAATTATAAATTCACGAAGCAATTAAGGTCGACCAGCCAATTAAAGGGCAAACACCACGCTTCGCGAGAATAGTTTTATTCAAAGCGGCGGGGGCCTGTAAAGCGAGAGACCAGCAAAGGTCAACTGCGTCTATTTGTAACTGCAGCCGAGTACTCGCGGATGAGAAATGGACGATATAGCGTGGGTTATTTTTGACGAGTCTTAATTGCTCGGATTATCGGGCAAATTAAAAATAATTCCGACGCGCGAGCGACCTCAGCCACGCTTCGCCATCGAGCCCTCTTCTTCGCCCCCATAACCGTACGAACTAGAAGTAACAGTACTTCGGTTATCCGGGTAGCCACCAAGAGTTGGCCAGATTTTATTCGCGAACTACGAATGGAAGATTTGTTCGTAAACATGCTTCATGAGCCACTTATTGTCCAGCGTAAACATTAATTCATAACCGAGGAAATAGATTCTTTCTTCAAAGAGAAGATAAAATTCATGAAAGGAAGAGTAAATCCTACTTGCGTCGGATGAAACTTTCTTCTTCGCGGAATTATAATAACAGTTTCAACAAGTATGAAATTATAAACATTCATGAGATCTACCTTCGCGTGACGGTGGTCTGCCATGGCTGAGTGGTTGAAAATTATTGCAATAGATAGTAGTCGAAAGGAATGTTTTTCATTTTTCTCGAACCAATTAAAGCAAACTGTACATAACGCGTTATTATATTTATTGGTTCGACGTTTCGATACTTTACAGTTATTTACATATTCATATATCCGAACAATCTTACTGGAAAAGAAGCGAAATAAAAACAGTTAGAAACTCCGAACAATCACTGTTATCGCAGGTGAGCAAAAAGTGAAGAAGAAATCGTTTATCCACCGCCCCGGAAGTCTCTAGGACCGGATAACGATCTGTCAGCTTTTCAGACCGCGCAAACATCGAACGGTATATAACGAAGAAAATCGCAGGTGCTCGAGTTCACGCTCGTTCGAGGGAAACGACGGCATAATTAAAGTCCACGCAGCAATTAAAACCCCCCTGGGAGAACGGAAGGGGACCTTTGAAAGTTCAAAGTTTACGCAGCGACGCGTGGAAGCGTGCTTTCAGCAAAAGTCAATTGCGAACGAGGTGCGTTCGCGCGTGAGGAGCTTCTCCTCCCGTTTAACGAGAGGTTCGCTGCACCGCGACTATTTTTGCATCGCGATATTTTTATAACGTTCACGGCGCAACGATCACGATTATTTTCTAAAAACGATTCCCTTCCGCTCTACGACCCCGCGGTACGCACGTGACCGCGCGCGCGGGACCTATTAGGTTTTAACGATTGATTTGCATCCACAAGCCTTGAACTTGCCTAACGAATTATGCAACTTCTCTGACGCAACCGTACCGGCGGATATAATTGGATCGCGGCTCTGGACGATTCGGTGGAATTAACCAAATTTCTGCGCATAATGGAGCAAATTTCAAACAATATTTTATT